TCTGCTTTGTATCCCTGCTACTCCTTCCGTCCTGACTTATCTGACTTCCTAGATACCTAAAATCAGTCACATCTTCTAATTTTTCGTTTCCTATCGTTATATTTGCTCTTTCCTTACTGTTTCTTCCCTTGCAAACCAATATTTCAGTTTTACTTTTGTTTATTGTCAAACTGTACTCTTTTGTCAATACCACTTCCATTTTATTTAAAGCTATCTCTAACTCGTCCTTAGTAGATACTAACACTGCTATATCATCTGCAAATCTAAGCATACTAATCTTTTGCCCCTGTATATCTATCTGTTACTACGATTGTCATGTATTTAATGATGTTGATCCCCTCTTGGACGCATAGATTAAAAAGTAGCTATTGTATAGTGAAGCAATATTTTATTTAATTCTATCTTCTTGCTAGATACTAACACTGCTATATCATCTGCAAATCTAAGCATGCTAATCTTTTGCCCCTGTACATCTATTCCAACAGTTGCACTGTATTTAATGATGTTGATAGCGTCTTGGATGTATAGAATAAAAAGTAGCAGTGGCTGTGTGTATCCCTGTCTGACTCCCTTCCTAATATTTATTTCTGTATGGTGCAGCTCCAGGTCTATAGCTGCCTGTTGCTCTTTATACAAACTAAGTTAGAATGGCCTTCCGCGTTCTTCTATTTATTCTAAACCTAAATTGATCTTCCCCTAATCTTCCGCTCCTTTTTTCATCCTCTTGTACAATTTCAGTTAAGATTTTTGACGCATGAGAAGTTAAGCTAATTGTTCTAATCATCGATTATTCTAAATATCTCGCACCTATCCCGCGCGTCTCTTTTTAGGTACGGTTACTACCACGTTTCGTTTATAATCCTCTGGGACTTTCCCTGTCTCGTAAATATGACTAACTAGCTTAAACATACGATATCTAATCTCTTGCCCTACATGTTTAAGTTTTTTAATGCTACATCGATCTCTTCTTTCATATGGGATAACCTAGCTTAGCTATCACCATACTATCTTCCTTCTCTAATATATCTCCTAACTTAAGGCCTGCGTATTATTATAACACATTATGTTTTCGGACCCAGGCTTGATGTATGGTGTGTACCTTTTATGGTAGAGGGAATTAGTACGTAAATCTTCCCTAGTCTTAACTTCCTTCATCTTCTTCTTTCCAACTGCTGTTTCTGTTGGTTTTTCGTCTCTCAACATGGACAAATATCCTTCAAATAAAGTTTCAAGCGTTCACGGCCTGCTCGTGCAATATTATGAATGGTAATGTCCTGAATGCCGCCAATTTAATAACAAATCCCATTCTTGCCGGTTATTTGACATGTTCTTAACAATTCCATTTTGCTAAAGTAGTAGGCGGTCATAGTTTCGGTGGGCTGTTTGGTTCGATCTAGTTTTTGTCTTAATGCTTAAAAGCCTCTTGGTCTCAATTACCACACTAAAATATCTTTGTATTTTTGACTGTTACCGTAATCTAATTCAATATTTTTCGGAATGATAGACCTGACATCTTAAGCTACATAACTAACTCATTATAATTAACATGGCGAGTCTGATATTGAATGCAATTACCAACCAAATTATTTTATGACATGATCCAACAATAAACTCAAGCTATCTACAAGCTAAACTCATGTCATAATAAATTATACTAAATACATACAGTAGCTGTCTTTGATTTTTTAACACCTCACCTTAAAACTTCCACTACGTAGCGATCATTAGGGAATACGTTAACGGTCCTAAATGGTCCTTTAAGTTTTGGAGAACGAGTTTTTGGCCTTGTCCGGTGCTGGGTTGATCAGTTTTCAAAACTAGAACCACGCTACCTGCGTCATATTTTCTAGCCGAAGCTTGAACCTTTTCAAATTCTTTTTTCTGTTTTCTTTGGTTTAATGTGTTGAAGCAGTGTAGTTCTTAATTTCGGCAGATCGATTTGTTTGAATTTGATTTGCAATTCGTGCGTCTGCGACGTGGTTGTGTACACCTTGCCAACACTTCGATATGGCTAGAATTTATTGCTTTATTTATTGAAAGTGCAGTTTATTGCACATTGAACCCCTTTTTACGCATGTATCCCATTTATTTTCCAGTTGATCTGCGGTAGTTGTAATAACATTTAAAAACAGTTCTGTTATATCATTCGCATTACCCGTTTGCTCAGGGAATGACAACGTCAATGTTTTATACCATAATTTTTAAAACGTTTTCGACGTGAATGCACTACTGTGGTCAGAAATTATTATCCTCTGGGGCCGGAATATCTGGATATTTTTTTTAGGGGACATTGATACTAATGAGGTACGTTAATTTTGAAAATTTTAGACCTCTATCTATTTTTGTTTTTGAGTAAATTCAAAAAAACGAAAAATCAGAAAATAATTTTTTTCTCGAAAACGGCTCAATCGATTTAATTGAAATTTATACACGTTATGAAGGTATATAAGGGCTATACTCGGAAAAAATAACAGCTCATAATCTTTATAATAACCATTAAAAACAGGCATTTTTTACCGAAATTATTTTTTTTCTTTATGATAATGTTCTAGAACAATTTTGAAATAAACTTTTTTTTATGCCCTTTTTAATAAAGAATAACCCCTCAAATTCTTAAATCGATCAGAAAGGTACGCCATATTGAAAAACAAGAAAAACCGATTTTTTTTATATAAAAATCGATTTATTTTACTTTTTATACTTTTGAAACAAAAGAAAAGCGGGTTAAATGATTAATTTTATAAGTGCAAATAACATCAAATATTGAAAACAATAGTGTAATTGTTTTTTTAAGTCAAAATATTAAAAAAAGGAATTATAAACTATATTTAGATAAACCAAAAGATGACTCATTAATGTTAGTGATAGTCAACTATTTTGAATTTGAATTTGATAGTC